GTCATTGCCATAATTTGTGGATCATTTTTGTAGGGTTTAGTCTCCTAGAAAATAAACAGCAGATAAAATGGTAATTCGTCTCAAGGCCAAATATGATTTGTGCGCGCGCAATACGACGTATAGACAAGGTATGATTTAATCAACTTACTTGTGAATCAAATGGGTTTATGCCAGATTTCATCAGCATGCTGGCGAGTACTAAATATTTCAGGCACTGAGTCCTTCTTTGGCAACCCGATTCATCGTAGTTCTTAAATGCCTCAAAGAAGTCTGTGTGCGATTTGTCGTACTCTCCCTCACGGAGATGCATCTTTCCACCACATTCTCTAATAATACCCATTATAAGCGGATGAGGTATGGCCGATTTTATATGTAGAGATTGCTCATAGAGAGCCTTGAGCTTTTTGTTATTTTTTTGTGCGGTGTACATCTGGATCTCGAGGGCATATATCTCCAAAAGTTGTGTCCCTTTCTTTAGGTCGTCTTCACCCTCATTTGTCTGACAGGAGTCTCTTAACTCTTTAACAATCCTCTGTAGCTGTACATAGTCGCCAAGCTCAAGATAAAGTTTACCAAGTTTAGTGTTTGTTTTAAACCAGAGGCGCTCATTCTTAGCTTCCTTAAGAGCTTCAAGAGTTGTGGTATAAAAACGCTGCAAAAGATCCATTTGTTTTGAGGTAGATACATAGTCAAGTATAGAGTTGATCGATTTCTCTGAGTAATTCCTTGTGACAGCGGATTTTATGTAAGTAAGCAGAGTTTTGTAATTTTCCATCATAGCCTCAAAAAGCCCTAGCTTAAAGTTTATTTTTATCATTTGCTTGAGCGCCTTAAATCCCCAATCCCCTTTCGTGCCAGATGCTTCGATAAAGAGGACTTTCTTGAATTCCTCGATCGCGAGGAGTGGGTTGTCCTCTTTTTTTGACTTTGCATTGTAATACTGATTTTCAAGATCTACATCTGGTTCGGAATTTTCGTCTGAAGAATATTCTACAGATAACTCCTCCTCTTCATACATATCATCATTATACGACATAGGGGCGCGCTAGTAGTGGGCACGCATCGAGCGGGCGAGAAGCCGGTGATCCAAACAAATAGAGATGAATTAACTTTCCAGCAAAATAA